CCATTGAAGTTAATGGGATTACTCACATGAGTAAGGGTTTGCAGAATCAGGACCATACGAGAAGTCCTCTTCAGCACTGATTTCTTTGGTGGTAATCATCAAGAGTTGCTGGATCAGAAAAGTAATCTAGCATGGTGCATTGAACAGAATGAAGAAAAGTGTTCTCCAGAATATCATTCTACCTGATGTATTCAATGATTTCTTTATTAGAAAATAGCATATGTTCAGTCATGCTGTAGGTAGAATTCCATCTGGATGAATAAGCTATTGTTATGGAAGATTTTATACTAAGAAGCTGAATTAAAGAACAACTGGATTTTTATTTACTAGCTGGATCTGAATTCTGAAAGTCTCTCAACCTTTTGGAGCGTAGCTAAGGTGAGTGAAAAAAAGCTTCAGGCCTTGTCTAGATTGAGATAAAAGGTGGGTTAGTATCATGTTTGCTAAATATCCTAACAAACATGTTTCAGAAATCTAGACTAGACAAGGCAATTTATACTTGAACATACTCTAAAATGGCCAGGTTAAAACCTAGGGAGGAGTCAAGGCTTTAAGTTGGCTGGTTTAGCATATATTAAAGGCAATGTACCTTGTCTAAAGTACGTTTTTTAAATGTGTGTGTTAGCATGTGTTAGCCAGTACTTTTAAATCTTGTTTGTACTCTCAACCAGAATTGAGGGTCCAACATAGATAATATCTAGGCCCAGATATTCTGTCCAGACTGTCAGTTGTGCCAAGGAAACTTAAAGCTGCTCTAAATGGGAACCTGGAGATTCCCCTAAAGATGCAGTCAGGTTTATGTGCTGGAGATTCCCCCAGTGATGTAGTCAGCTTAAGTCACCTTTGTAAAAAGGATTACACTGTAGGGATCACATGTGATAAGAGGCTGAAGACAGTGTAAGTTAGAGCAGCTGTGAGAGGCCAGTTTGCTCCCAGGCAGCTCCAACATTAAGAAAGGTGACCTAGACCCACTTTTCCTTTCTCCCTCATTTAGCTTCACCAAGTGTTAGTACAGTTGAAGCTCAAGTCCTCAGCCTTTGTATGAATCATTGTAAAAAAAAGACAGAATGCTCCGAAGAACATGTTTTGAGAGCAGCAGAGGAAAGTTCAGAAAATAAACCCATTTTGGTGAGGATGCACATGTGTGGTCAACAGCTTGTAATGATAGCCACTTCTAGATTGGTCAAAAAGAGAGCTGGAATGAATGATACTAATGAGTACTGTAAAGGCCGAGGAGTAAGACTCTTGTACTTTAGTTATGTTTTACTACAGTAAGCTATTTCTCCACTTTTATTTTAAATACTTTTGTTTAGAATGTTGCAGATAAACATTTTTCATTTTGGCTGAGTTTGTTTCTTTTCAGTCAATGTTTATTCAGAAATATCTATCTTGTTTTGTTACAGAAATCTATTTGGACATTTTTTGATCAGTGAAGACCTGTCACCATATGGTGCAACCTAGAGAATTTACTGCTTTTTATTTTGTCAAATGGCTGGGGGTTTAAGCTCTTTTTGTTTATCTTGTTTGCAAGTTTTATCTAGGTAATTTTTTAAAAAATTGACCCTATAAGAAGAGCATCTGCTATTAGATTGGGAAAGAAAATAATACAAGATCAGTCATTCCCCATGCATCAAGGCACACGATGAATTAGGACTGTGCTCAGGAAGAACTCTCCTCCCATAGCTTAGCTTTGAACAATTTAGTTCATTATTAGGCTTTTCACCTCACTGTGAAACATCTGGCAAAGGCTCAAAGGCAGGATACCAGATGAGATTGATAATAATGGTTCTGCTCCAGAATGCTATTTCTTGTGTAGTCAGCTTCACTCTTGACCTCCCCCCCCCCCCCATCTACCTTATGGGGGAATATCTTCTCTAAACATCATATTGTGTATCAATTTGGGGTAAGAAACTTTCTAGGAATCAAGAATGAAACACTCTCTCCTTTAGCTCCTGTAGCCATCCATCTTTGCTTTCCTAATGTTAAATGTGGAATGATAATTTCAGAATGCCAAACTGAAGAGTTATACCCTCTAAACCAGATCCTAGTGGTGACTCAATCTGAAGTTTGAATGTTATTGGGTTAAATTTTGAAAGGTTCCTAAGTGACTTAGGAGCTGTTGTGGTTTTTGCTCTTTACACAACTGTAATAGTATGAGAAAACCACATAGACATGATAGGTCCAAATAACTGTGTTTAATATACACAACATGCAATTTTATATAGTTGTTCTGGCTAGTTACTAAAACATAGAACATAAGTGTCACTGGAGGACTCTCAAACTACTTACACAGATATTTAACTCCTGTAGTCCATAAGCAGTGGGAAAGTCCCATTTTCAAAGTGACTTAGGAACCTGAATCTCACTGAAAATCTATGAAGTTACTCTGGACTGACATCCATGTGCATATGAGTAGAATCTAATCTGGTAAGCCTAAGTAACTCACTCATTGGGAATACAACAAATATGTAGTTCTGATGTGGCTGAGATCCTGTACAAAATATTTAAGACATCATTATACATTGACTTAGAAGATTCTGATTTACTGTTTTTAATGAAATTGACAGTGCTATCTTGGTTATTTTTGGTTTTGATGTATGACTATTAAAGAACTTAATAATGGTGTCCTCTTATGATACCATCACACAATCTCCTATTATAACAACTTTTGCTCCATTGTCTACAGATGCTGTTTTTTCATGTTGACTCTGATCTTATTAGGTTTAAAAATGATAATCAAAGCTAATTTTAAAAAATGGTTCTCTGTGTGTATACATTTTTTATTTCAAATGAGGTGTCTTAATTATTGTCAGAGCCCTATAATCCAATTTTCCTGTTTTATATTATCACCTTTTGATGCCTTAAATTGTTAATTTTTATGTAGCATCTTATGTTTTCCTGGGTCTAGAGAAATAAACACACAGGGTGAAAGTTTGACCCTACTGATGGAGCTCTGCGCAAATACAAATTTATATCCGCAGATATAAATCGGTATCTGTGGAACTGCAGGGCTCTCCCGGGAACCACAGCACCGAAAGGAGCAGAGCGTGGGGCCACCGCTCCCAGGAGCCAGCGTCCCGCACCAGCAGCTCCTCTGGCACGGCTGTACCACCCCCAGCCCTGTCCCTTCCACGCAGCTGTCTGCGTCTCCTATTTGGGGGTGTGCGTGCTGCTTCAATACAAGAGCGTGACCAGGGACAGCTGCCGGTGAGACTGGTGCCCATCCCAGTGGGTGGAGCTGGGGGTAGTACAGCTGTGTTGGAGGAGCTGCCGGCATGGGGTGCTGGCTCCTGGGACCGGCAGCCCCACATTCTGCTCCTTTCACCGCTGTGGTTCCTGGGAGAGCCCTGCGGTTCCGCAGATACCAATTTATATCCGCAGATATAAATTTGTATCTGCGTAGGGCTCTACCTACTGAAGTCAACAGGAGTTTTACTATTGACTTTTTTGGGACCAGGATTTCACCCACAGTCCCTGCCCCCATTCAATCTATATTAGTCTAATGTGGAAAATGTTTAAAGACAGACAAGGAAGGTGAGACATATAACAAAGAGGGTGATGTGAAACATTTGTGAAAGAAGCTTGAAAGTTTGAAAGAAAAGATTATAATTTAAACTAAAATAAAGTAGATACTACCAAACAGCCATCATCTGTGGGAAATTTACTAAAAAATATCAGAATGCAAGAAGTGCTTTATCGCATCAGTGGTCCCTCTAGTTCAGTATCCTGTCTCCAACAGCAACCAGATGAAGATGCAAGAAACCCTGAAGTGAGCAGGCATGAAATAAAATGCCCATAAGGAATGCTTCTTCCTAACCCCCCAGGTTGTTTCCTTTTGAAACTATGCTGAGTTATCCAAATACACAATGGCATACACATGGTATTGAGAAATGTGGTCTAGGTACAGGCCATGAGAACCAAGAACTCAAGTTCCATTTGCCGTGTCCTTGGGTAAGTCACTTAACCTCTCCGTTTTCCCATCTGTCTAATGAAGAGAAAAATACTCACCTACTTCATACGGCTGTAGTAGGTGAGTTATTAATTATATTATAAAGTTAAAGTTATCTGATGATAAAGGCTACATCTACAACAGCAATCTTCAATTGACCTGAATGGGTTTTAGGTGAGGCCATGTATATCCACAAACTGAAAGAAAATAAAAAGTGCTAATCCTTGCCTAGAAAGGTACATGACTGATATACGTTGGTTTAAGCTGTAAAAAATAAAGTTAAAGTTATCTGATGATAAAGGCTACATCTACAACAGCAATCTTCAATTGACCTGAATGGGTTTTAGGTGAGGCCATGTATATCCACAAACTGAAAGAAAATAAAAAGTGCTAATCCTTGCCTAGAAAGGTACATAACTGATATACGTTGGTTTAAGCTGTAAAAAATTAATAAATTAAAATTATTTTTCCAAAAAACCAATAGCTTATGCTTAGAAATATTAAGTCATTAACACTCAGGTTATCTCTTCTATCCTTACTCCATGTTTTCCCCCCAGTTGTTTTCAATACAGGAAGTCTCTCTCACACACACACACACACACACACACTCTCGCTCTCTCTGGAGTCATGGGGTAGGAAAAGTAAATCTATATAAATCATTATAAATAGTCAGATAAAAGTAGGATTACTGGGCTGCTGTAGTGAACCCAATCTGAACTAAAATTCTCTAGTTTTGCCATCTGTCTTTTAGTAGCATTCATTAAAAGCGGTGGGGAGGGGGAAGCCTATAGGTGGCCATATTGCTATACTCAGCCACATACATCTAAATGCCACAAATACAAAGGACTGGATAGGCGAGCTAAGTGGTAACAGGATACAGAACATTTGGCCTATAGTAGGCTCACTACTTCCAGTTGATGCCAGCCTGGTAGTAACTTGAAAGTTACAATCTAACGTGGGGAAACTTCCTTTATTCAGAGGAATAAACTGGGAACTGACAGAGGATTCAGCTTCAAGGACTGCACGACACTTTTTTTTTTAAAAGTACACTGCTTAGAAAGAATAATAATTCAAAAGGCTCCCATTCTATGTGCTGCTCACATGGGGCTGGGCGCGAGTCACACGCCAGAGCACTTTGAACTTGCTGGCTGCTGCTCTGACTCCATTGAGCCTCCCAAGCACTCTGAAGTGCGGGATCAGGGCTTGGGCCTTATTGGCACGGCGACTGGGGGAAGGCAGGAATAGCGAGGCCACGTTTCCTCGCTAAGCAAAACTTCCTCCCCTCCCCCGTACTAAGCCTACGCCGGGGCCACTGCGAACAGGGACTCACGTTCTGCGCTCACCCGCTATTCGCTACGAGGTGAGCTGTGCGGAGGGGCCAGTCGGTGTGTTCGCGGATCGCGCCACACGCTGGGGTTGACTGGGAGGCCCCAGGTCACCTGGAGCGGGAAGGGAGTTTGGGCGGACTCGCCTGCCCTTGTGCCAGGCCGCCCGCAGCTCGGCACGTCCCGCCGCTAGGGAAAGGCAGGTTGGGCACAGCCAGAGCGCGAGCTCAGGGCTGCCGAGGCGAGGGCCGAGCAGTTGGTCCCTCAGCTCATGTCTAACGCTGCCCCCCCGCGCGAGGGGGTGCTAGTGCCGGAGGGGGCGGGGCTCTCCCATTTGGCAGCCCCTGGCCCTGCCAAGGCCTGGCTGGGGGACAGCGGGGCGCCTCAGCCGGACGCCTCCTAACCGCTGGGCTCCTCGCCCCGCCCAAACCTGCCCGCGCGGACACTCGCGCTCTGTGCCTTGCTGCTCATAATGGGCGTGGGCGCATGCGCAGCAGGCTGCGTTGGGGTCCCTGGCCTTGCCTCTGTAACGCATGCCTGAGCCGGGCCGTTCCCATGCGGAGCGGAGCGGGGAGGGGAGGAGCATGCTGAGTGTCCCCACCTGAGAGTGGCAGCTGGCGGAGGAGGGGCGTAGTGCTGTCAGCGGTATGTGGCTGTGCGGGCAGTGCTCTGCGAGCCTGCTGCCTCTCCCGTCCGGTGTCCCGAGGGACTCCCTCCCCATGCTGGGTCCCGATGCACTGTGACTTCACCCAGGATAGCCCCACCCTATGTTTATAAATTGCACCCTGTATACTCCCCATCCTGTGTCTAGACGGGGTCCCGAGGATATTGAGACCCGTTCCTCTGTCTGTGCATTTCCCTTGGTACCTGCCTGTTTTTGTACCTTGTTGTGTGCAGGGTCATTCCTTTCCCGTGCTTCGAAAGGCTCATCTCCCTTTCCTTCTCCTCTGTATTCTTCTCCCCATCCAGATTGTCTCCCCCGTGCTCACCACAGTATTTCTCTCCCCCTTCGTTTCCTCTTCTGCCCTAGGGTATTCCTTAACCTACCCTAGGTGTTTACTAAAACACATAGTTCTATTTAAAATGTTCATTAGAACTTCAGGATCTTTACATGCATTGTACTTAATTGCTGTTTTGCATCTTTGATCGAATAGAATGAAAAATTTAGGAATCACTGACATGTTAATCATATATAGTTTTCCTTTGCTCTCCTCTTCTCACATCTAGGAAACATATAGAGAAAGGTTTGGTTCATTCACACTATAAATAATGTGGTTTAAATTATATAAATATATTTGTTATGTGGGGAGAGTGGGAGTTTAGTGATTTAGGGCTAGATCTTGCTAGCTGTTGAGCACCTCCTCTGAGAAGGTATGTCTGTCAGCCCACATTTACTGCCCAGACACATGATACATAATTATTTATTATTATTTATTTATTTTATCATTAAATATTTGTATATAGCACCATAGGGGCTCATGATGTCTTATAGAAAGCATAAAAACACAGAGCCAGATTTTGTGCTACAAGAGGTTGTAAACTGGCCACGTCTCCCTATCTGGCATCTGCACCATCCCCTTAAAACATCTCCTATAGGTGGGTGGGGAGAGGGTGTGGTTGAATCATGTTGTATTCTGGCAATCTGCAACTGGTAGATGGCACTTGCGTGCTATAACCAGCCAGCGTTAATTAAAGTACATTGAGGAATGCTTTAATCTCTGCTGGGGCCAACACAAAATCTGCTCCCTTGCAGTATCCCTCTTCTGTTACATCCAGCAGAGAATCTATCCCACAGTCTGTTCCCAAGGAATTTATATCAGTTTGAAGATAGACTTTATTTCCTAATTTGAGTTACCATTGTAATATTTAACTTTTTTTATAACTTTGTTCAAATAATGTTGCTTTAGGGCAAAATCCTGGTCCTAGATTTATAGGTTCCAAGGTCAAAAGGGACCATTGTGATCATCCAGTCTGAGCTCCAGTATAACACAGGCCATAGAACTTTCCCAAAATAATTCCTAGAGCAGATCTTTTAGAAAAAACATCCAATCTTGATTTAAAAAATGTCTGTGATGGAAAATCCACATGACCCTTGGTAAATTGTTCCAGTGCTTAATTCTCCTCACTGTCAAAAATGTATGCCTTATTTCCAATCTGAATTTGTCTAGCTTCAACTTCCAGCCATTGGATTGTGGTATACCTTTCTCTGCTTAACTGAAGAGCCCATTATAAAATATTTGTATATCCTATAGACTGTAATCAAGTCACCTTTTAACCTTCTCTTTTTAAACTAGACTGAGCTCTTTGAGTCTATCACTATAAGACACGTTTTCTAATCCTTTAATTAGTCTCATGGCTCTTCTCTGAATTCTCTCCAATTTATCAACATCTTTCTTGAACTATGGGCACCAGAACTGGACACAGTATTCCAGCAGCGGTCACATTAGTGCCAAATATAGAGGTAAAGGAACGGTCTACTCCTATTCAAGATTCCCCAGTTTATGCATCCCAGGATCACATTAGCTCTTTTGGCCATAGTGGCACACTGGGCGCTCATGTCCTGTTGAAACCTACAGCAGTTTTACCTTTGACTTCAATGGGACCAGGATTTGACCCACGGGGCCTAGTCGTGCAATGTGTTGTCCTGAGAAGTGCTAAGAATGCTCAACTACTCTTGGTGTTAATGAGAGTTCAGAGCACTCACATCTCATAGGAAATGCTCAGCATTTTATAGGGCTGCGCCCTTTCTTTGGGAAAACCCCCTTATTAAGTGTTGAGGGCCTGTCTCTAGAATTGATATGGTAGTTTGGTCTTACTAGAACTACTCATATTTGTAAAGTTGCTCATAGGTGGAAGTATGTGCAGGATTGGAATCATATAAGACACAGTCCCTTCTGTAAAGACCTTACAATCAAAGAAATAAATCTTTATTTTAGTTTAAGAAACAAAAATATTTATTTAAAATTGTTGATGTACTGGTTATTTTACTGTTGAATTGCTTGTATACCTTATATATATAAAATCAGCACAAATAATTTTTAGTTTTCATTGCAGCTGCCAATACTAACATTCCATTTTCTGTGCAGATGTCACTTAACTTGGATACTGAAGATGACTTCTATCTGGAAGAAAATAGATTCAAGCAGTGTTGTGCAGAGTTCATTAAACATTCACAGCAAATAGGAGATGGTTGGGAGTGGAAAAGTATAAAGGTATGGGCAGTAATTTGATATTTAATAAAAACTTATTGTTGCAAGGTTTTCCTTCATGTCCTACAGGCTGGTAAACCAACTAAGCCCCAAATGCGGTGCCCCATTATGCGAGGCAAACACAGGGTGGAAGGATAAAAAGAGGCACCGAGAGGTGAAGTGACTTCCCCAAAATCACACAGCAGGTTACTGGGACTAGAATCGAGGTCTCCTGACTCCTAGTCTCATTCAACCATGATGCCTGTCCAAACCAGTTTCTTTTTCTGCCCTCAAACATTTTCCTTGTCTGAAAACTTCTCACCTACTTTTAACCTAGTTGAAGACAATATCAAAATGAGCCATTCAGATGTAATTTGCCATTTTCATTTATAAATCTTTTCCATTCATCACTGAACACATTGGCCCAGATTCTCTTCTCTGGTATGAAAATTTTGTGCCACACTGCTGGATACAGAACCTAAACCTGGAGTAGTTAGGCATGAGTGGATCACTCAAGGGTAATAAGATACATTTTGTGGGGTACTGCATGCATAGCAACTTCTAATCCACCTTCTTCCCAGCTTCTCTGTGCCGGGGCTGCCTTATTGACCTTATCTTCCCCTCCCCCTGCCTACAAAAGTCAGAACTGGCATTAGGGGGTAGCAAGCAGGGAAGGGGCCCCATGAAGCTAAGTTGCTCAGGCTTCAGCTTCAGCCCTGGGTGGCAGGGCTCAGTGCCCATGGCCTCAGCCCTGCGCTTCGTGGCTTCAGTGAGTTTAATGCCAGCCTTGCTTGAAGGATCCCCTGAAGCACCCCAGAGGGTCCCGAACTCCTGGTTGAGAACTGTTGTGACAGAACATCTCCCAGGCTGCTCTAGCACACACATCAGAGAGCTTGGCACTTTACACAGAATTAGAAAATGCAAAGATGGCTGTAGCTGAGAAACTAAACCAGTAATTCTATTTAGTGACTTAGTCCCTCTCCATCCTTTTCTAAAACTTTGGGGAAAACCATGTGCAATTTTTAAAGTCATCTTTATAATATTTTAAAATATATTGAAGGCTTGTAGATCTGTGACAATACTTTCCCTATACACTAGAATTTGTAAACTAGAATTTAAGACTCTCACTGCAAAAAAGGTAGGACTCTGGTAAAAAGGAAGAACATGGCTTCAGCCACAAATTGCAATTTCTCTTTAAATCACATTTTTTTTAAAAGAGTGAAAATATTAGCAAAAGAGTTACAATGCACCCTTTCATATAGGCAGCCATTTGAAACCTTAGATTTCAGTCCAAGGCTATGTGTCTGAGGAGTTTATTCAGAACAGAAAGATGCTCTGAGCCTCTACCAGGAATTCAATACTTGGGTCAAAGTTTGAACTTTCTGTGAAATAGAAGCTTGGCTGAAAATAGTGAAATGAGACAGATTTTTTGTTCTCACATATAAAAAATGGTGAGATTTTTTTTTAATGGGCCAAGTTGGCGACTCTGTGATTCCAGATTGTGATAAAAACTTGGCCATGGAGAACATCCATTTATTCAGTGATAATCAGGGGAGGAAATTTCCCTTGAAAGAGATGAGTGTCTTAAAGCAGAATGGGTAATAGACAGGTTTTTTGTTCCCTTTCCCCTCCCTCCCCCCAATATATATATATGTGTCAGGAACAGTTTGGTGTACTCTTAATGTTGCTGATGTCATTTACTTGGAGCCCATTCCTGCATTCCATACTCACATGAATAGTCTCTTTGATGTCAGCGAGACTACTCATGCAAGTCAGGGTTGTAGAACTGTTCATGAATTCAGTAGAAATTAAATTTAAATGATAAAGCATCCAACTTTGTGAATTAGGCTATCATGTCATAAACTCACCTGGTCTAAGCAAAACCCTGTACGTATAGATGTGGAGGGTGAGGTCCATATTATGTTATGACCCTCTCTTGTCAAGGGAGAACTACAACCTGCAGTGTAGGAGTGCATCACCTATAGACCTGATGAAGCTGAATTTGGGTAGTAATACTGAATATTGCACAAATTAGGCAGTTACATCTACTCTGCCAAAGCCATGTATACATTTGCTTTCATTATAAATTTTATTTAATAGGCAAATAGGTTAATCTCATCCCCATGTAGTCATGAGTAACCATGTCAAAGGCTATTGTGACCGAAATATATTATGATCTACATTTATTTATAAGCCAATTTAAGTACAGGCGAACTGTCTTCTCTTATTTTAAGAAGAAAAGTCCCTACAGGTGTATTGACTCATTTATACATAAATATACGTTGTACTAGAGAGGCTCTGTAACATGGTAGATGCTTAACTTTCTTGGGTCCCCTATGCCTAGTGGTGGCAAGTGGTGCCTTCCCACCCCCTTGCTGGTATAAAATATAGAGAATACTAACTCCACAGGTTCCTGGCTTTTACAGGTATATCTTCCAGGGAAATTACAGGCTGTAGAGTTTGGAAGCATGCAGAGAGGTTGGGCTCCTTCTTCACCCATCAGGAAAAGCTGGTTCAGGGAAGTATATATTACATGCCCACCCCTGCTCCATCAGAGCTCATTGTACCCCTCTCCCCTGGGCAATTCAACCCTGTGGAGGGTAGGTGGTATTTCTTCCACTTCTCTTCTCCAAAGATTTTCTGCCCATGTAGGCAGGTTTAATTGCCTGGTGCAGCTCTCAAGGAGGTCCACAAATAGAACATTCTCCAGAAAGCCACTTAAGTGGACTCTCTGGCTATTCAGGTCAGGCCTATTTTTTCAGTCATTTCTGTCCACCTTTTGGATTGCCCTTATGGCACTTCAAAACTGAGGGTGCAGCTCTTTCTGCCATCAGGAACATTCCATGTATAAGCACACTGTCAGTGAATTTGGCCCACTGAGATTTAGTGGGAAGACAAATATAGCATGGCAGCGAGAGAAGCTAAGAGCAAGGCAATTTTTCAAAATATTATCTGTGTTAAAAGTTTACTAACAAAAATATATATAACTAGCATTATCATCTTGTTTCAGGTATGAACAAAGCACACAAATAGCCCATAACAGATGCTGCAGTTAAATATATTTTGTAACATCGTAGAAAAGACAAGACAGAATGAATGTGTTAGAATGGAACACATGTTGATTTAAAGATCAGAATAATCGAACTAAACTGTGTCAGAAATGGTAGATTAACCAAAGAGTTAAATTATAGTTAAATTTGCAGCCTGTCAAGCAATTTAATGCTACATTAATGAGTTTTGTTCAGAGACTGTTTTGAATGGAATCCTTTTACATCAGATGTTGCACATATGCTGTCTGTGTTTGTTTGTCTAAAATAAAATGTAATGAAACAGCTAATAAAACCCCAATTTATTTGTTTTCTTTGAGAAATAAGTCCTTAGCATGCAGATACTATTTATTGTTCTCCATGCATTTTTGCTGCCTTTCAGCGTGTGCATTTTCCAGCAATCCATTATTAACATGTTCTCCAATATCTTATTTCTAATTGACAAACTAATTTTAAAGGATGTATATCAGGGTGTGGAGAAACCCACCAAAAGTCTTTCTCTACCCTTGTGCAGTTGTGCAAGGACCTATCACAATACCTATGGTAAAAAGGGAATGAAGTCTAGGAAGGGTCATTATGACCATGTTCATCTTCCCCGAGTCTGAGGCCCAGGCTGTTCTCTCTTAAAGGATGGAGCAGATTGCTGTTCTGCACACCAGAGGTCTGTGCACTTGCAGAAACTGTGCTTGTCTGAGGCAAACTCTCCTCTTGAATGCCCCTTATGGAGAAGTGAAGCTCTGCAATAGTCCCTGTGCAAGGCAGTGGTATAAATGCCCATATGTTGTAAAGTACTTGTATCATGCTTGTATGTGGTTTAAATGAAAAAAGCTGATCTATAAAAATAGATGAAAATTGTTAATCATCCAAATGATCAAAATGAGAGCATGTTTAGGGTTAATTTGGTCCCCTCACCCCAGTTCTGACCTTCTGTGTGTGAGGTTATGCAACCCAAGAGGGAAAAATCCAAATTAACCCTAGGAGTTTGCTGAAGATTAGGGAAATTTGTTTTCGTGTGACTACATAGTTGAAGGTATGCAGGTACAAACCCTTACTACAGATATACTGCACCACTGCAAAATAGGGCATGAATTGGTGTCACATAACCTGTGAATTTACACAGGTAAGTGATACCAGTGTGAGCCCTCTCTTACACCGGTACACCTTATCTATCCTATGGGTTTGCATTGACTATATCAATGTAGCTGCACTTGGCAGAAACCTCCAGTAGAGAGAGATGCTAAGTGTCTTGTTTAATTTAACCATCAACCCCCGTTCTGCTTTCACTGTTTTTATAGATGTTATCTTAATATTATGAAACTGTCCTTTTTCTAACTGTCTTTTTATATGCAAAAGGTTTTAGATCAGATCTAGATTTTAATGAGCATTCAAGGGCTTTACTGGTAGTGGGCTTCAGGCATTCCTCTCTGATGCAGTTTTAAGAACATTAATAGTTAGGTTTTTTTTAATGTCATCAGCACTCGAATTCTTAGAGTCTATTTTCATCCAATACACGTTAGGCCCACTTGGTGCAAATGGGACAATTTCCCCACCTGGGGTTGAATTGTACATAGTTCATGCCATTTTGTTGGAATAGTCTTCTTATGATTCTGTTCCTGGGGAAAAAAAAGTTTGGTGTCAGATACACCTCTACCCTGATATAACGCGACCCGATATAACACGAATTTGGATATAACGCGGTAAAGCAGTGCTCTGGAGGGGGTGGGGCTGCGCACTCCGGCAGATCAAAGCAAGTTCAATATAACACGGTTTCACCTATAACACAGTAAGATTTTTTGGCTCCCGAGGACAGCGTTATATCGGGGTAGAGGTGTACTAAAAATGACTTTGACTATGTTGCTCTTTCTGTCTGTCTCCTACACTATTTCCTGTCTCCTGAGACCTTCCACCTATGCCCTCAGCTGCTCAACTCTCTTCCAGACCTCAATACAATGTTTTCCAATAGCTTCCTTGTGCCACCCCTTCGGGTACACAGATATCTAGCACTGATGCATTATCTTAGCAGCTGTATCACATTTTATTTTAATTAGTGGGGCAGTTGGCCTCCTATAAAGCTGTTAGAATTGCTCTGAACTGGCCATTAGGGGATACTGCAGATTATGCAGTTAGGACCCCTCTACCAGCAGGTTCAGAACTTCATTATGCCAAGCATTGGTGCCAGAATTCTGTGTTTTATTTATTCTGTAGAATGGTGGTAGCAGTTAGAACTTTGCATATTTAAATGATTACTGAAAATGTTTTTGGTTTGTATTTTCTGAGCACAGGACTTTCCTGATGGCTATATGAGTAAAACACACTTCCAAATGAAAAATGGAAATATCCCATCAATTTTCAAGGACAGCACTAAGGAAAGTGATGAGCAAACATTGACACATGTTGAGGTAAATACAGCTTTCTCTATTGATTTGCCTTTAAAACTTGTGTATATAAAATAAATTATGAGCAAAATGTTATTTCTATTGTTGTTTAGAAAACAAAACAACAAAACCCACTTTGGTATCTGGTATACTAGCATGTTGTCAGAATATTCAGGTCTTGAATGATCAGTGGGTTTGAACAATCTTCATGTAAAATCTTATCCTCTTCCTTCCAGTTTATACATGAATTGGGGAGGAAACAGAGAGGCAATAATGTAATTCACTAAAAACTGTAATACACATATACAGCCTCATCATGGAAGGATGGTACTTATTTGTACCATGATCTACCAATATTAAGGAAATATTCACTTTTAAAAAAAACTGAACATCAAGGTTTACTTACCTAAGAGATAAATATTAATCAAGGCAAAATATGAGGTCAGTTACCTTGAGGGAGAGTAAATATTGATATTTACTGAAGTAAGTCAGTATATATGAATTGTGACTATTTTTGAATATCTTAGAGAGGGAGAGAGAAATGGAAATCACTTCCATTGTGGTATCAATTTCTTATACAGTAAAATCTGTGTTATTTGGCACTTTACCAACCACACCCAAACTCCCTCCCTCCATAACCTCGTTATCTCCATACTGATTTATACCTGCCTCTGGAAATTTCCATTACTTGCGTCTGATGAAGTGGGCATTCACCCACGAAAGCTTATGCTCCAATACTTCTGTTAATCTTAAAGGTGCCACAGGACCCTCTGTCGGATTTTAAATGTTACCTCACTTGCCGGTCGTCAATCCCAGTTTCTGATGGGCATTCAGAGTGTGTCTGCTGCCTTGGTGAGACACATGTTCCACATAAATGCTCCCACTGCCTCAATCTGAAGGCCTGTGCCAGGAAAGCAAGGGACCTACAGCTAAAATTCCTCATGATGGAGAAGTCTCTGTGTCCAGCATCCGATCTGGGATCACGGACCCCTCCTGGGCACTGGTCTCCAACGGTGGCATCTGACAGATGTTCCCCACCATTCTCTCAGAGGAAGGAGCACTCCAACAAAGAAACTGGTTCTGACCTCCCCTTCTTGGGAACCCTTCAAAAAGAGACAATCCCCGACCCATCAGCCCCCATTGGTACCAACTGCACCGAGACCATCCACCTCTGAGGTAGCGGGACCATCCAGTATCATGGTTACCATGTGAGCCAAAGACCCTAAGTGAGCTGGCTCAGAAAAAGGCACAAAAGGGAAACCTACCATCCTTACCTCCGTACTGCTGGAGCTGCTCTCACATGCGGCACTGAGCAGTGCAGCAGCGCTAAAGTCTGTGGTGCCACCTTCTGCCTCCACAGCGTATAGCGCACGATCCTCAGCACCGGCAACCATGGTAAAGGCACTGGTACTACCAACAACACCCTCCTCAGTACCGATACTCTCGGTACCACAGCAATTTGTCTGAAATAAAGAACTTTTAGTATCCTCAGCACCGGAATCTCCACTCATCGGTATTGACCTTACTCCAGCATGCTCGATACCGTGCCAACTTACCACGCTACCCAGATCAGCTCCTCCTTTATCCAGCGACAAGGATGATGATGATGATGATGATGGAAGAGGAAATCTACTCCTCCCATTACTCCTTGCCTACCCACACAGCTACCAGACCAGGTCCACTAGAGAAACATGAATACCATCCCAGACCTGAAACCCAAGGATGGTATATACACCTATGGATGCTGCCACTAATGCCATTCCCACCACAATGGCCTTACTGAGACCCATGGGCAGTGTACCGCCAACACTATCTTAAGCCTCCCAGTCCACACAAGGAGAGGTCAAGGCATTCTCCATCACCCTCTGAACCTCCGGAAGAGGCAGTCGAGGAACTGGAGGAGACTTCAACTCAGGAAGTCACCCCAGCTGCCACTTTTTCATTCTCCTGTCCGGATGAAGCTATTATTCCCCTTCTCCACAATGGGGGATGACTTTAAACAGTTCCAAGAACTATTTAAAAAGGATCGTAGATTCCCTGAAGATATTGCTGGAAAAAGTTGCGGAGTCACAACATAAGTTGTTGGACATCCTCCAGACTTCAGTCTATTCCAAGATTGCCCTCCCAATAAACAAGGTGCTCATGGACTCAGCCAAGACCATCTGGCAGACCCCAGTAACAATTCCACCCACCTCTAAAAGAGCGAATAAAAAAAATATTATGTCCCTTCCAAGGAGATGGAATTTCTATTTTTACATCCTACGCCAAACTCTCTGGTGGCAGAGACCGTGAATGAGCAGAGCAAACAACACCATTCCAGATCCACCCAATATGACAGGGACTTGAAGAGATTGGATCTTTTTGGTTGTGAAGTTTACTCTTCAGCAACCCTATAGTTCAGGAATGCAAACTATAAGCATTAATGGCCAAATACAATTACTCCAGTTACTCAAAAATGTCTGACTTTATTGAGCACATACCTGAGGACAAAAAGGAACAATTTAAAGCTTTCATATACAAGGGTCAACTCCTATCTTGCACAGATTTACAAACTTCACTGGACTCCACAAACATGGTGGCACACTCCATCGTCATGGCCTTAGTAATGCAACAAGCTTCCTAGCTCCACCTCTCAGGTTTTCCCAAAGAGGTACAATTAACTGTTGATGATCTCCCGTTCGAAGGCCCCAAGCTGTTTGCAGCCCAAACAGATGAGTTCCTTCACATATTGAAGGACTCCATAGTGACTCTGAGATCCTTGGGCATATACACACCTACACAAAAGAAAGAACAGAGGAAGTATTACTTGACACAAAGATCTAGATCCGTGCCCTACACCCAGCCTCAGAGGTAGAGGCAGAGACCTGCAAGGCGGAGACCACTCCCTTCTCAGCCCTCAACATCTCAGCAGCCTCCCTCTAAACAACAGTTTTGAGGGTTTGGTTGAGGACCAGAGACACCTTCCACTTTTTCTATTGCTGGACCCATCTGACACCATCCATCCATTCGGAGACCACCTAATTCCTTTCCATCCAGCATGGCAAAACATCACATCAGACAATGGGTATTAGAAATCGAGACTGGCTATTCCATCCAATTTACCTTCATCCCCCCCTCCCCACCCTCCCTCCCCATTCGTCTTCAGGGACCCTTTCTTACAAACACCTACTGTGACAAGAGGTAAACCCGTCTTGTATGCCTAGGCGCAGTAGAACCAGTACGAACACAACACAGAGGGAAGGGTTTCTACTGCCATTATTTTCTAACCCAGAAAAAAAACTGGAGGATGGAATCCCATTCTCGACTTAAGAAGACTCAACAAATTCAGGAAGACCCAGCGATTCAGGATGGTCATGCTAGCAACAATAATTCCAGCACTAGGCCCTCGACCTCCAGGATGCATATTTCCACATAACGATACATCCCTCACATAGGTGGTTTCGCAGATTTGCTCTGGGAACAGATTGTTTCCACTCCAAAGTACTCCCTTTCAGCTTATCTATGGCTCCAAGGGGATTTTCAAAAGTTCTTGCGGTGGTGGCAGCTCACCTCTGCAGACGAGGGGTCATAATATTCCCCTATCTGGATGATAAGTGCTTACTCAAAGCCTCAATTCAAGAAGGGCCCTAGCAGCTACCGAAAAGACACAGCTACGGCTACAAATGAACAAACAAACAAAAAAATCAACATTCACACCTGTGCAGAGACTGGAGTTTATTGGGGGCCTACCTTGACCCTCTGGTAAATCTGGGCAGAGAGGCTGTAGCTTCCACTCTAGTCCACCTAATTGCTATAATGCAAGCCAGCCCACAGACATCGGACAGGACCTACCTCCAACTGTTAGGCCATATGTCAGAAATGACATTTGTCATCAAACACCTGAAGGCATGGCAACTCCATGGTTCCGAGACAATGAAATGATCTGTTCAGAGGAGGTAAACAGCAGAAGGACTACTACATGATATATCAACCTGCGCAAATGGAAGAGATTCCATACATGGTGCCAGAATAGGCAAATAATAGCAACTACCTCTCCTTTATTGGATTACATGTTGGAACTCAAGAAATCTGGTCTCTCAATGAGCTCTAACGGGGCACACATCACAGCAATCACGGCGTTCCACCACGAAGTGGATGAATTTTTGATCTTTGCACACCCTACCACTAAACGCTACCAATAAAAGGGTCTTGGTAACCTTTATCCTGCAATACGAGCCCCTACTTTATCATGGGATCTGATGCTGCAATGCCTAGGGGGGCGGGGGGACTTTTGAGCCACAAACGACATGTTCACTTCTCCATCTTTCAATGAAGGTGGCCTTTCTGGTCGCTATCACATCTACCCAATGAGTAGGAGAACTGGAGGCCCTCATGGCACATGCCTCATACGCAATATTTTTCAAAAGCAAAGTTATCCTACAACCACATCCCAAATTTCTACCTAAAATAGTTTCATCATTCCATTTGAATCAACCAATCCATCTCCCATCATTCGTTCCAAAACCTAATGGGAACAAATAAGAAGCAATGCTTCATACCCTGGATCTCCAAAGGGTGCTAGTTTTTTACGTTGAAAGGACAAAGTCTTTCAGAAAGTTACCAACATTATTTCTGTCCATCACGGAAAGACCTAAGGAAGACGCCATAAAGGCATCAAAAAGGACAAGAAGGTGTGTCAACTGTCTGTAATGGGCCACTCTCCTACCACTTCAAAAGTTATTTTTCCTCCCTTGGTGTCCTGCTGTTAATTGATTTATCTCGTTAGACTGACCTCAGACTTGGTAAAGCAACCCCCATCCTTTCATGTATTTATACCTGCTCCTGTATTTTTCACTTCATGCATCCGATGAAGTGGGTTCTAGCCCATGAAAGCTTATGCCCAAATAAATTTGTTAGTCTCTAAGGTGCCACAAGGACTCCTCGTTGTTTTTGCTGATACAGATTAACATGGCTACCACTCTGATGTTATTTAGTTATCTCTCATAATTCTGACAATATTCTTCAATTCTGACCTACATGAACCCATCACTGTTTATGTACTGAATTA